GTGGGGATGGGTGAGCCCTGTAAGCCTCCTGTGTCTCCATACAGCTTTGTGGGAAGGGGCGTGTCTCACCGTCCCCAGACAGCGTGTGACAAACATCCACACTCCACGTCTCATTTCTCTCTCCTGGCAACTTTGAGCCATGCAATCCCAAAAGGGTCCCCAGAGTAGAGGCCAAGGCTGAGGTCCAATCTGGGTTCAAATCCCAGTCCCACTGCCAAACAAGTGGTATCCTGTCTCCACTGGCAGAGAGCAGAGAGCTCCCCCGTGACACAGAGCAGGGACGGCCAATTAGATGCCATTATCACACGAACATGTCAACGCTCCCAGAAACCAAATGGTGCTATATGTATTTATTGTGGTCGGTTGTAAAGCTTGAGCTCAGAGCCTGGGCGCTATCCCTGAGCTTTCTCAACCAAGGTGAGCACTCTACCACTTTGAGCCACAGCACCATTTCTGGTTTTCTGGTGGTTAATTGGAGATAAGAGGCTCACAGAATCTCCTGCCTGGGCTGGCTTTGAACCACGATCCTCAGATCTCAGCCTTCTGAATAGGTAGGATTGCAGGCATAAGCCACTAGCACTTAGCTTCAAATTTTACTTTAAATTGTGTCTTATGAAGATATTTGTGGAATTTAAATGTACCATTTGATGAATTCTTTGTATGTGCTGGTACTGGGGCTTGAACTCAACCTGGGCACTGTCACTTAGCTTTTCCTTTCTTCCTTTTTTTCCCCTCAAGGCTAGTGCTCTACTCCTGATGCCGCAGCCCACACTTCTGTCTTTTGGTAATTAATTAGAGATAAAAGTCTTACAGACTCTTTCCTGCCCTGGCTGGCTTTGAACTGCAACCCTCAGATCTCAGCCTCCTGAGTAGCTAGGATAACAGGCGTGAGCCACCAGCACCTGGTATCCATTTGATGAGTTTTGACAAGTACATACACCTTTGTAACCAACACTGCAGCCAAGATGGCAAATAGTTCCACTAACTCTGATAACGGGCCCATGTCTCTTTCCCTAAGCTTCAAAGGAGACCCAGGCTGAGAGTAATGCCTTCTGGAAGGGGAGGGGGGGGCTGCTGAATTCCCCAGGGATGGAGGGGGGGTGAGTGGATAGAATGGGGTCAGTGGATAGGAGGGGTGATGGGGGGTGAGTGGATAGGCTCCAGAAGCTTCCAGCTCCCAAAGAGCCCACCATTTTAAGGAGGCGCACACTGGCTGTCAGGGGTGATTTAACACTAGCACCACCCAGAGAGGGAGTGCAGGGAACTGCCCTTTCCTGACCTTAGCCCAGGTGTAGAATTCCAGCCTGGCTAGAGAGAGGGTAGAGCTCAAATCACTGTCACAGGACTGGCCCTGAGTGGGGTCAGCCTTGGCCTGGCAGCTCCTGGCCCTGAAGCTCAGGAAGGGAAGTGCTTGCTGGCTCAAGGTCACCCAGGTTAGAGGTGGCTTGCCAACTCAGAACCTATTCTTTCCTCTTCCTCTCCTGCCCCCCTGGCTCCACTCTGGGACAGACCCTGAAGAGGAGCTCTGCCCTTCCTCCTTCTCTGACCTCAGGTCCTTCCAGGCCTGAGGGACCAAGTCCCCACCACAGCTGCCAGGGACCCAGATTGGGTCCCTCTGCACCCGCCAGCGCTTCCGGCTCTGACAGCCCTTCCCAGGAGCCGCCGGGCTCGTTTGCATACTACGGTTCATTTGCATACTACTTAGGAAAAGCCTTTGCCTTCCCCACCTGCAGCAAACTCCAGGCTGATTAGTTCTCCCTACATCGGAGAGTTAATTACTCTCCCGCGTAGACCCGGTGTTTATTTGTAATCAGCAGAGGGCTAGGAAGATAGGAGGGGGGGGGGCGGGGGAGAGAGGATGCATACAGAAGCAGCTGTCATTAGCCCCGATTCCAAAGCGGCTCCAAATGAGAGCACACTGCACCCCCAACCTCAGCTCTGCCCTTGTACGCCCTGTGACACATGCCCCGTGGCCCTCGAGTGCTCTGAACACACAGAAAACATGAGTAGACCAGGATCATGGGAGCATTAGACAAAGGCGGGTGGTGGGCAGCTGGCAGGCAGAGAGGGTAGCTCAGAGAGCAGGACAAAGGACCCTGGGATGGAGCTGGGGCAGGGTGCCTTCCAGAACCATCTCAGGACAGGCTGGAGACAGGGAGGGTAAAACTAACTTCCTCAGTTAATTGGAGATGAACGCCGTACGGGGACCAAGGAAAACACAGCTCTCCACTTGGATACCAGAAATGTCCCTCCAAAATCCAATGTCTCTACCTGGGGACATTTGGTGTCCTTCCCTCCCCTTTGCCCACATCCATCCAGTAAACCTGACCTTGTCCCCCTCCCTCATAAGGTCTGGATGAGCCCAGGGATCACGCCAAGGTTGGAAAGACCCCCATAGTGACTGTCAGAGCCCCAGGAGGAGACTGCCCTCCTTCCACGCCCCCCCACCCCGCCCCGATCCCATACAGGAATTCCAATGCACCCAGTGGGACCAGCTCAGAGGAGCCCTAGGTAATCAATCGCTCCTTGGGAATGCATACACCTTTACAGTTAGGGAAACTGAGGCCCAGGGGATGTTTGGTTCCAGCACACTCATCAGAGTTGGGCTGCCTGCAGCCCGCAGTGGCCTCTTGTGATTTAAAAAGAAAAAAAATGTATAGGGCAGAGGGAGATACTGCAGAGGGCAGCCTGCTGTGACAATGATGGGGACCTGGCAGGGCACAGTGCCCAGGCCCTGGGGGCCTCTGCCACAGCACCACTTCTGTCTTTTTGGTGGTTAATTGGACAAGGAGTCTCTTGGGTTTGTCTGCCTGTGTTGGCTTCAAACTGAGGATCTTCAGATCTCAGCCTCCTGAGCTGCTAGGCTTACAGATGTGGGCTGCCAGCACCCAGCGTCTGTTTATAATTCTTTCCCCCAACTTCTCAACAGGTCACCTGGCCATCTGAGTGGCAGATGGGGGAGGAGTTAATTTTCACCAGACGCGGCCGTGGGACACAGGCCACACTGCCCTCTAGAGGCTGCAGGGGGGTGGTGCCCACTGGTTCAGGTCCATTATTGACCCTGGTTTATAGCTGAGGTGTGAGACCCAGAAAATACAAAGAGAGACCCTGTAAGGGTCAGACTTGAACCCTCTGGCTTCCGTAAAACCCACCCAAGAAAAGTGGTTATTTTATTTGCATGGGGAGGCAAACAAAGCTCATGAGACCATGGCGGGCTACTGCTGGATGGTTCCCAGCTCGAGTCACCCAGCACTCAGGGAGGTAAGAAAGAAACTGGGGTGCTGGCTCTGGGGTTTGGTCTCAGAGCCTGAGCTCTGTCCCTTAGCATTTCCACTCAAGACTGGCACTCTACCACTTGTACTATACCTTCACTTGTTAATTGGAGGTACGAGTTTTGTGGGTTTGGCTGCCAGGGATGGCTTTGAACCACCATCCTCATGATCTCTGCATCTTGAGTGGCTAGGATTACAGGGCTGAGCAACCTGGCTCTTTAGCTCCCCCTGCAGAAAAGCGAGGCTGACATGATGGAGGAAGGTAGATTCTGGGAAGGGTGTTAGGGACCATTTGGGGCAACCTGCCTGCCTCTCTGCCTCATCTTTGTAGGTGGAGAAAGCAAGGCTGGGAGAGGTGCAGTAACCTGGCCAAAGGTTACACAGGTATCCATCTAGTGTAATGTCAATGCGTCAGTAGTCCAGGTAGGAAGCTTTGTACCATGTTCACGTTACAGATACAAAGGTTGGGAGAAGATACCGCTGGCCCAAGTCTACACAGTGAGGATAACAGGCTGACTGGAGGACCCCACTCACCTCCTACATCCTGGAGAGGAAGAGAGGAGCTAGCACCCTTCAACCAAAGCCTCCTGCTGGTGTGTGACATATTGAGTGCCACAGGAGACCACAGGTGAAAAAGGAAGGCAGGGGTTCGAGGATCCCAGCTCTGGACCATCCTGTACCTGCCAGGACACCTGCCTTCTTCTCATCCACAACGCATGTGGGGAACAAAGCAGAGAGACGAAGTCAGCCAGGGCCTGAACACACTGGTCCCAAGTGTAGGTGAGACAAAGTCACTTGATGTGGAAAGCTCCCTTGGGGTCCAAGCAGGTCAGATGACAGACCAGCAAGGGGGCTGTGCTTCTAGGTGATGAGCAAACTATCCACTTGAACACTAACAGCAATGCTCTCTAGATAGTAGAATCCGTGGCTATAAGATAGGTAGATAGATAGATGTTGAGTAAAGCCAATGATGAAGCCAACTTACTAGGTACCATGTTAACATTGTGTCATTCCCATGTTAAAAGACCCTGAGGAAGAGCCCGTGCCAGTGGCCCACACCTCAAATCCTAGCTATCTGGAAGCTGACACTGAGGTTCAAAGCCAGCCCAGCAAGAAACTCTAATCTCCAATTCACCAGCAAAAAGCCAGAAGTGAAGCTATGGCTTGAGTGGTAGAGTGCCAGCCTTGAGTGAGAAAACTAAGGGACACACCCAGACCCTGAGTTCAAGTCTAGCACTGAAAGAAAGTGAGAGTGAAAGAAGAGGAAAAAGAAAGAGAAAAATAGCCCAAAGAAGTAGAATCTGTGGTTCCTAATTTATAGATAAGGAACCTGAGGCCCGGATGGTGATGTGACTTCCGGAAGGCAAGCCACTGGGAAGTGGTCATCTGGAAACTAATGCCTGCTCCTTGTTCCCCCATGCTCCAGGCCGTGGGCGCGATCCCAGCTGCTTTCACAATCACGAAAGTGGCCGGCAACTTACAGGTTTTGAAACTCCTCCTGCCCTGATGATCTTTGCGCCTCTGCGTCCTCCATCGTCCACACCCCAGCTGCACAGACACCACCTTGCCACCCCTCCTCCCAACAGCTGTGGCCCGAGTGGGACCCCCAGCCCCATGTCCACACCCCAGTCTTGCTGAGGTCAAAACTCCCCTGTCAGCTTCTAAGGCAGCTCCGGGGCAGGGCGGGAGAGGGGGAGGGGGCCTGGGGTGGGGGAAGCGAAACTTGGCCGGACGGCATAGGGTTCCTGCTGGCCCTTCCTGCTGGCTGTCCCTGCCGCTGTCCTACTGGGTCCCTGGGCTGAAGGCAGAATCATCCAGTCGTGTGTTGGCAGCCCAGGCAGGTGAGGCCAGGCCTGGGTAGTGGGGGCCGCGAGGCTGGGGAACCAGGACAACAGAGGCAGGCCAGAGGGAGAATACTGGTAGCTGTGTCGGTGCTGGGACAGAAGCAGGGACACTGCTCCAGGACTCAGAATAGATGGGGGGGGGTGGGAGCCCGACCTCTGAGGTGTGAGCTTGGAAGAAGATGGGGGTGTAGGGACTCAGACCCATCGTTCCTGGATTTGAGCTGGGGAAAGGCTGGGGGAGCAGAGCCCAGCAGTGGGGTCTCTGCAGGAGGAAGGAGCCCTCGGGGCAGGGGCCTGGTCCTCAATGCTGGAAGGGACTGCGCCACCGTGGTGGAGGAGCGGGCAGTGGCAGGGCTTGTGGTTCCTGAGCGCACAGAGCTCCACCATCTGGGGAAAGGTGTTAATTAAATATGGAGCAGGCGCTTGATAAATATTTGCTCACTGAAATTGATCATGCATGGAGCGGATGAGTCTGGGCACCCAGGGAGGGCAGGAGCAGGTCTGTTCATTGTCACTTGGTATCCTGGAGTGTGCACACAGTGTGACGCACAGGTGTGTGTGTGTATGACAATGGATGTGGACAGGGCTTGGAGGCCCCCGGGGGTCGGGGGCAGAGACTCCAGTAGGTGAGTCCGGTATGGTGGACAGGTGCTGTCCAGCCTGCCCACGCCCTGCCTGTGTCCACAGTGACGTCATGGAGGCTCCTTGGTTGTTGACCTGCATGCTGGCCATGTTCCTGGCCTCCGCAGTGACTCAGGATGTGTGCCAAGCCCCCAATGGGAAGGACGGGGCTGCAGGAAAACCGGGCCGCCCGGGCCGCCCAGGCCTCAAGGGGGAACGTGGAGAGCCGGGTAGGTGAGGGCTCTTGACTCGGGTGGCTGGCTGCAGGATGCAGGGGCTCCACAGGAAGCCCTTCCGGTTTGTTCTTGGCCCCCAGGGCTGAGGATACCAGGCCTTTTCCCTGCCCCCCGCCCCACTCACCCCCAAACCTCTGCTGGTCCTACTTCCTTCTATGGTCTCACTTCCTCTTCTGAAGAATTAGGGGCTTGAGTGATAAGGGGGGAGGTCACAGGCAGCTCCCAGTCCTTGGTCATGGCTCAGTGACTAAAATGATGATGAACAGATGTGTGTGTGTATGTGTGTGTGTGTGTGTGTGTGTGTGTGTGTATGTGTGTGTGTGTGTGTCTGCTTAAGGCTGGTCCTCTATCATTTAAGCTACAGCATCCCCTCCAGCTTTTTGGTGATGAATTGGAGATAAGAGTCTCACAGAAGCTGGGTGCCAGGGGCTCACGCCTGTAATCCTGGCTACTCAGGAGGCTGAGGATGGTGATTCAAAACCAGCCAGGGCAGGAAAATCTGTGAGACTCTTATCTCCAATTGACCACCAGAAGTGGCACTGTTAACTCAAAGCGGTAGAGCACTAACCTTGAGCAAAAGAGCTCAGTGACAGCGCCCAGACCCTAAGTTCAAGCCCCACAAGGGGAAGGGGGAAGTCTCGCAGACTTTCTTGCCCTTGAACCTTGACAGTCAGATTTCAACCTCCTGAGTAGCTAGGATTACAGGTGCAAGCCACCAGCACCTGGCTCAGAATCAGCCTCTCCAAGGCCCTGCCATTCCCCTGCCTTCCCTCCTAAAGGTCCCTGGGAGGAAAGCCTCTTTCCCTGGGATGTCAGGCCCTGAGTCCCCACCCCCACCCCTAAATCTGCTCTTTCTCCTCCAGGGATCCCTGGCATGCGGACAGGCATCAGAGGCCCTAAAGGAGATGAGGGGGAGCCTGGGCCCTCTGGAAAGCCCGGCAATGTGGGCTCCCCAGGGCCCAGTGGGCCTCTGGGGGACAAGGGTGCCCCAGGGTTAAAGGGGATCAAGGGCAACCCAGGAAACATCAAGGATCAGCCCCGGCCTGCCTTCTCAGCCGTGCGGAGGAACCCTCCCGCGGGCGGCACCACCGTCATCTTCGACACGGTCATCACCAACCAGGAAGGCCCTTACCAGAACCACTCTGGGCACTTCGTCTGTGCCGTGCCGGGCTTTTACTACTTCACCTTCCAGGTGGTCTCTCAGTGGGACATCTGCCTGTCCATCACGCACGCCCCCAGGGGCCAGCCGGAGCGACAGCGCCGCCTGGTGGGCTTCTGTGACTACAACAGCAAGGGGCTCTTCCAGGTGGTATCTGGCGGGACGGCGATCCAGCTGCAACACGGAGACAAGGTCTGGATCGAGAGAGACGCCTCAAAGGGCCGCATTTACCAAGGCCCCGAGGCTGACAGCATCTTCAGTGGCTTCCTCATCTTCCCCTCAGCCTGAGCCGGGGAGCCCCCCCAACCTCAGGCTTCCTCCTCCTCCGTGCTCACCTCCTCTCAGACTCTGTGCTCTGCTCAGTAAAGAGGGTGCTATCACCTTAGCCACCTAAGGAAGGGGCTGCTGAGAGCCTTGAGGAGTGGCAGCCCCCCGCTCTGCTCATTGTAAGGGTCCTTTGAGATCTCCCTGGAATAAATGTGTGAGTCTGAGTCCGCCAGCCTGGGTGCCATGGGGACTCCGGGCTCCGGGCAGGGGGCACAGGGGTGACCCTTGCTGAGCGCTGAGAGGCAGCCGCTGTGTCTGTGCCAAAAGCCCATCAGCGGGGCTCCAAGCCAGACACCACTGTGTGTTGGCTGCTTATCGTGTGCGTGTCACGTTCACTCTGTGGCCTCAGTTTCCTTACCTGCACGGCGGGAGGAGTGGCCGCACCTTCCTCGGTGGGCTGCTGGGGGATTGGATTGCTCCGAGTGTCACAACTGCAGCCTGGTTCCTGGCTTGGGAGGTAGCTTGATAATAAGCTCCAAGGTGGGTGCCCATGCCACGTTACAGATGGATGAAGCAAGGCCAAGACAGGGAACGTAAGATCCAAGGTGGGCATCCCAGAGGAGAGGCTGGGTTGAACCCCCAGCTTGCCGCGGCCATGTCTGTGTGTGCCCTCCCCCCTCCCCAGCCCCCCAGCTGCACCTGGCCAAGTACACCGGCACGCCTCCAACCTGGGCCAGGAATCAGAGAGGGGAGGCTGCTGTCAGCTGCCTGCGGAGCCCCCGCCTGGGCTGGGGAACACACAGTCACACACATGCACATGTATACAATGACACAGGTGCACAAGCCACAAATACATAGCTACACTGGTACAGATGATAAACGCATACATAATCACACTCACATACAACTCACTCATACACACAACACACATACACAATCACACATGCGCAAGACCACAAGCACACATATACCACCACAGACATGTACCGACCACACACACGCACACATAACCACACATGTGCACAGACCACAAGCACTCTTATACATAAGCACACATATGCTCAGCCCTGCAGTACACGTGTGCAGATCAGCACACACCTGCACAGGCCATTCACATATCCAAACAGTACGTGTGTGTGTGCACACATGCACACACCATCTCTGTTGGGATCCCCAGGCACCGGAGCACATGCACTGCTCATAAGACATGGGCTCAGGACCACCCTTCAGTGTACACCTACACATGCCCTAGGAGATACACACTGGCTACAACCCCAAACACACACATGCACACACACGCACACACATGCACACACATGCACGCGCATGCACACAAATGCACACACATACATGCACACACATGCAGACGCTTGTGGGGGACGCATGAGCTGTTATGCCAGGCATTGCCTGCCTCAACCTTCAAGGAACACTCGCAAGCCCCCCAAATATGCCTTCTCTCTCCCCATCTCTGTCCCTCTGTGTCTCTCTCTCACACTCACGTGTGTCTCACATATAGGCACACACCCTGAGTTCACATGTGCAGACCACTGGCCTCAGGCACACGCACATCTCACACCCGACATGCATAAGTCTTGGAAACCCTGTCCTCCCTTCTCCCATGCTGCCATGCACACACCGTTCTCAGAGTCACAGGGACTGTCCCCCGCCCACCATCCACCCACCTCTGACAGGCAGGAGTCAGGACTCTGTCCCCAGCCCTCTCACCAACAGTCTCTGGGGTCAAGAAGGAGTGAGGGGTCCATGGAGAGAGGGGAACCCCCACAGCAGAGGCTATCACTGGAGCTCCTGCATGGCAGGAGAGACCTGGCTAGGGTGAGTCTCACCCTAAATTCTACCCAGCCTCATCCCCTGCACCTCGCAGTCAATCTCTGGTCCTCCTGGGAGGGAAAAGCTGAGCTGGGCCAGGTAGGCAGGGCAGGGAGGGAGGCTGAGCACGGGCTGAGGCTGCCACCTGCTGGACAAGCCAGGCCCAGGTACAGAGGAAGCGAGGATGGAAGATGGGAGCCTGGGGCTGGACTCCAGGACACAGAGTCCCCCCACCCCGCCCCCTCCCCGGTTCTGCTCTTCCCAGGCCCCCACCCACCGGAGATGCCCAAGGCCCAGTGCTCTCCAGGTCCTTGTCTGTCCTGCACTCCCAGGCAAGTGAGGCCCCAAAGGACACTCAGCCTGGCAGGGCAGGACTCTGAGGTGCTGGTATTGGCATGGGGTGAGGCACAATGTACACTGAGTCCTTGCCCTGAGTACCCTGAGAAGCCGTGGGAAGTCTGCCTCGGAGACCACTGCACTGGGAGTCCTGGAGTCCAGGAAGCCACAGTTAAACCCAGCACCAACCTCATCCTTAGAGCTCCTGAGGGACCAGGCACCTGTGGCTCACACCTGTAATCTTAGCTACTCAGGAGGCTGAGATCTGAGGATTGCGGTTCAAAGCCAGCCTGAACAGGAAAGTCTACAAGGCTCTTATCTCCAATTAACTACCAGAAAACTAGAGGTGGTGTTGTGGCTCAAGTGGTAGAGTGTTCTCCTTGAGCTAAAGAGCTGAGAGACAGCATCCAGGCCCAGAGTTCAAGCCCCACAACTGACACACATACACAAAAAGAACCTCATGAGGGAGCTAACCCAGCTGGAGGGCCTCCCCACCAGAGGCCAAGTGGAGGCCAGGGCACAGGGGCAGATGGAGCTGTCAGGGAAGGAGAGGAGACCAGGAGCCCATCCTTCATTCAAGAGCCTGGGTCCCAGGCTGCAAACTAGTGGGTCACTCCTGTAATCCAAGTTATGCAGAAGGCTGAGATCTGAGGAGAGAGGTTCAAAGCCAGCCCAAGCAGACAAATCCAAGAGACTCTTATCTCCAATAAATCAGCAAAAAAAAAACAAAAGTGGAGACATAGCTCAAGTGGTAGAGGACCAGCCTTGAGTGAAAAAGCCAAGAGAGAGTTCACATGAGAGCTGCAGACAGACCGGGCACACGGTGGGTCAACCCAATTGTGGAGCCATTGTGCCTGGGGCTCTGTCCACTCACACGTGTATACACAGAGCGTGCACACAACACACACATGTACACACAATACACACACACACACACACACACACATCCTGAACCAGGTGCTGGAGCTGCAGACGTTTCCTCTTTTTAGACACACATGACCCTGGCCACACGAGGAAGGGTAGACAGTGGTGTCACTGTGGTCAGTCAGGCTCAGAACACAAATGAAAGTGTCCAGTCAGGGGAATCTCAGGAAAGGGGATGTGGGAGGGGGGCTGGGGGAGGGGAGCGCTGGGGGAGGGGTGCCTAGTCTTATCTGGGCAGTCCTTGTTTCTGGTCACTCCAACACGGTGTCCTCCTGCCAGGGACATTGCTGTGACTACATCAGAAACCCCCCACCCCAGGAGAGGCTGAGACCCCTCCCACGCGCAGGTGAGAGCCAATGGCGATTTCCCCTGGACCTTCCTAAGCTCTGGCTCACTCTGCAAGAGGAGGAGCTGTCCTCTCCCTGATGGGCCCGGCCCTGAGCCCCACAGTCCATTCATCATGGCGCCCCCAGTGTGAGGGGCTGCAGCGGGGGATAGGCTCAGAGAAGTTGGGGGAGGGGTAACAGGGAAGAGGGGGCTGGGGTCCAGCTCTACCACCTCCCCATCCTGCCCCCTCCTCAGGATGGCCGTGGGGCCCAGCTGCCCGCCCTACCCTGCACTCCACCTGCTGCTGCTCCTGCTGGCTCTGCCCCTCAGGGCCCAGGCCGGCACCGGCTGCTACGGAATCCCAGGGATGCCTGGACTGCCCGGAGCCCCCGGGAAAGACGGGCACGATGGCCTGCCAGGGCCCAAGGGGGAGCCAGGTGAGTCTGCCAGCTGGGTCCTGGGCTGAGACAATGCGTCCATATGGTGTGATGGGGGTGGGATCGCAACGAATGCAGACAATGAAGAATCCCACTGCCATGTCGGCTGTGGCCCTTATCCCCCGTCCCAGGGGGCAGCAGGGAGGGTCACAGGGCACCTGGCAGTCACAGCCTGGGGCAAACTGAGGTGTCCCCTGCCATCTTGTTACACCTGCGCTGTTGCTCGCCCAGCCTCGTGGTGGTGGCCACACCATGAACGCATCTGCTGCACTGACGGCCAAGGTCACAGCCCGGCCCGCCCCTTCCTTCCATGACGACATGCCACTTTACGTGCAGTGCCTCAGTTTCCTCATGCGTAACACGAGGGAAGTTGAACAGGGCCGCACAGGGCTGGGGCAGCTAGAGAGAGCAGTATCTGGAGGGTGGCTGCCATGCATTCAGCTCTTGGCGTGGGTTCCATGTGCCGACGCTGAGGGGTTGGGAGAGGTGGTGCTCAGGACCAGGCTTGAACTCCAGGCCTGGATGCTGTCCCAGAGCTCTTTAGCTTAAGGCGAGCGCTCTACCACTTGAGCCACAGCGCCACCTCTGGTTTTCTGGGTGGGAGGAGGGGTTGGGAGAGGAGGTGCTCAGGACCAGACACAGGCGCTGTGCAGCCTGGCAGCCTAGGCAAGGCCCCCGTCCTTTTCAAGATAAACAATCCAATGAAGTCAGCTAGGCCTGATTGCAGAGGTGCCCATTACTCAGATGTATGCATGTGACACACTCATCCCCAACACACTCAGAAGGTTGTGCAAGTATCACTTTCCCCATTTTGATCATATGCATGAATTATGCAAGAAACAACATTGGGAAAACTAGGCCAGGGGTATGAGGGACCTCTCTGTGGACCTCTGTTTGTATATGTGGGGTGTGTGTGTGTGCGTGTGTGTGTGTGTGTGTGTGTGTGTGTGCTGGTATTGGAACTAGAATTGGAGCTAGCCTTGACATTGTCCCTTAGCTTTTTTGCTCCAGGCTGACATTCTACCACTTCAGGCTTTTTGCTAGTTAATTGGAAATAAGAGTTTCATGATCTTTCCCACCAGGGTTGGCTTCAAACTTCAAACCTCAGATCTTAGCTTTCTGAGTAACTAGGGTTACAGGCATAAGCTAATGGAGCCTGTCTCCTCCTCCTCCACCTCCTCCTCTTCTTCCCCCTCCTCTTCTACCCCTTCTTCCTCCTCCTCCTCTTCCTCCCCCCTCTTCCTCTTCTTCCTCTTCTTCCTCTTCTCCTTCTTTCTCTTCAAATTTCTACAACTCTATAATTATTTCAAAGATAAAAAGTTGAAAAACTACAAATAGAAAATTAAGCAATCAGCTCTGGAGGAGATGATCATTCATGAATAAGCTCCACGAGCTTCTGGAGAAATCTGATTTTTGTTTTTAAAAAAATCCCTGTAAAGCAAATAAACAAATAACAACAAACCCTTGAGAACCAGAATTTTTAGATGAGGTCTGAATTTGCTCATGTTGAACTCTGATTTAAAAAATTTTTAAGCCCACACATGCTGAATGGAAGGTGCCTGGGGCTGCATGCTCTCCCTGGACTGACATCTCCCTCTGACAGTCTGGCATCTCCTAGTGCTGTCTGCGCGCACACACACACACACATCACAGGTGTGGAACTCAAGACCAAGAGACAGGAAAGTACCTTAGATAGTCAGACGGCAAACCACTCTGTTGGGGACAGTCCATCTGGGAAGGACATTCTAGAGACAAGACACTGGAATCTGAGCACCGGTGGCACACACCTGTAATCCTAGCTACTCAGGAGGCTGAGATCTGATGATAGCAGATGGATGATATCCTGGGCAGAAAAGTCTGTGAAACTCTTATCTCCAATTAACCAGCAAAATGCTGGAAGTGGAGCATGGGGTCAAGTAGTAGAGTGCTAGCCTTGAGCAAAAAAGCTCAGGGATACTATCCAAGTCCTGAGTTTGAATCCCAAGACCAACACACACACACACACACACACACACACACACACACACACACACACGACACTGGAAGGCACCTCCAGTATCCCCTCTTCTCAGTCCCTGCTCTATCACTCCCTGCTTACCTTTCTTTCTCCAGGAATCCCAGCCATCCCTGGGACTCAAGGACCCAAGGGTCAGAAGGGAGAGCCTGGTAAGCCTGGCCATTTGGGGAAAAATGGCCCCATGGGAGCCTCTGGGATGCCAGGAGATCAGGGCCCCAGGGGGCCTCCCGGGATGCCAGGTGATGAGGGCAGGTACAAGCAGAAGCACCAGTCAGTGTTCACAGTCACTCGGCAGACTTCCCTGTACCCAGCAGCCAATGGCCTGGTCAAGTTCAACTCGGCCATCACCAACCCCCAGGGGGATTACGACCTCAGCACGGGCAAGTTCACCTGCAAAGTGCCGGGCCTCTATTACTTTGTCTACCACACGTCACAGACGGCCAACCTGTGCGTGCACCTGTACCGCAGCGGCAGCAGGATGACCACCTTCTGTGACCACCTGTCCAACAGCAAGCAGGTCAGCTCCGGAGGCGTGGCGCTGCAACTGCAGCTGGGCCAGGAGGTGTGGCTGGCCGTCAACGACTACAACGGCATGGTGGGCACCGAGGGCTCTGACAGCGTCTTCTCCGGCTTCCTGCTCTTCCCCGACTAGAGCACCAGGCCAGCGCCAGCCCACAGCTGGCCACCTCCCTCCATTCCCACATCCCGGCTCAGACTATTTTCCCTACCTGATGGACTCCTCCTTCAGGAAGCCCACCTGACTCCCAACCCTCTCTGTTCCCTGCTCCTTCAGGAGTCATTGCTTGTCCTGTTCTTTTGATACTTAACTAGACTGTCATTCACTTTTTTTGTTTCAGCTCTTGCAAGAAGCGGGGAGATCTATGAATAAATAATTAGTCTGATAAATATGCATGGACCAGTTTTTTTCCCCCCCAGTGGTAATGCCCTGAACTTAAGGCCTTGGGTAGTGCTGACCGCAGCTTGACTGTCAGCATGGAGACCCTCAGCCCCATTTGGTCTGGTGGGAGCAAGATGCTCCAGGGTGGTTACGGCTGTCAGAGGTCCCCTGGGGACTGTCTGCTGTCAGGTGGGCAGAGGGGAGGGGGCATGGCTGCCAGTCAACCTTCCCAGGATCACTGGAAAACCAGCAGATTTGAATTCCCAGCTCTCTTCTCGGGAGGAGTTTGGGCTTTGATAAGCCCACCACAGAGAAAAAAATTAGCTGTACAAGTAACTTTTGTTGAACGATCGGGTGAACTGGAGTAAATGAATGCACACCTAAGTTGGGGTGTGATGGTGTACCCTCCTGGAATCCCAGCACTGGGGACACTGAGGTCAGAAAATCATAAATCTGGGACCAGCCTGAGTTATATAGCAAGACTCTCTTTCCAAAACAAAACAGAAAAAAAATGAGTGGTTCACTGGGTAAATGAGAGACTAAAACAGAACAGACAAGTGGATAGATTTAAAAAAAAATCAGAGCTAACATTTGCTGAGCTCCTGCTGAGCACCAGGCCATGAGAAGGGCTTCATACACACTGACTTGTTTAATATTCATCGCTGTACCTGGGGATGGGCAGGAGAGAGGGAGACTTCCTCCTACCCACCCCCAGATGTCTTCTCCCTTCAAATAACACACAGACTCCAGGGTCCCCAAGAGATCATCTAAAATCACAGCTGCCCACAAGCTGTCAAGTTTGAGCCGGTCCCAGCCGCCGCGGTCAGGCAGCGAGAGGTGAACTTCACACGTAGTCCCCAAACCAGCCCTTTCAGGTTATGGTGGTCTGGGGGCTTGAACTCAGCTAGGCTAGTGCTCTACCGCTTGAGAGGAAGATACACAGGAAGGGCAGGAAGCAGGGACACAGGACTCTGGCTGGTTCACCGTGGCAGGGCCAAGCCCTGGTCACTGACCACAACAGTCACAGCTGCCACTCCATCAACCATTTAGTGGCTGGCCAATCATGCCACCTGTGATACCCTTCTTCTCATTTCTCATTTGTTTAAAACAAAATCAATGCACCATCTACCTAGGCCACAGTGTCAGATCAGAAACCTGTACCTGGCAACTAGCTTTGCTCCATTTTTATTTTCCATAATCACTTCCTTGTCCCTTCTTTATCAGGAGAGACAGACTTTAGAAAATACTAGCTTTAAGCCAGGCTTATAATCCTAGCTACTAATTTGGCTGAGATCTGAGGATCATGGTTCAAATCCAACCCAAACAGGAAAGACCATGAGACTCTCATCTTCAACTGACTGCCAAAAAGCTGGAAATGAAGCTGTGGCTCAAGTATTAGAGCAGTAGCCTTTAGCAGAAAAGCTCTGGTACAGTACCCAGGATTTGAGTTAAAGTCTAGAGCCAACACAGAAAGAAAAAGAAAGAAAGAAAGAAAGAGAGAGAGAGAAGGAGGGAGGGAGGGAGGGAGGGAGGGAGGAGGGAAGGAGGAGAAAAAAAAGAATGAGAAAGAAGAAAGAAGAAAAGAGGGAAGGAGGAAAGAAAGGAAGGAAGGAAGGAAGGAAGGAAGGAAGGAAGGCAGAAGGCAGGCAGTCAGGTCAGTGACTCACACCTGTAGTCCTAGCTACATAGGAGGCTGAGATCTGATGATTGTGGTTTAAAGCCAGCCCAAGCAGGAAAGTCCAAGAGAGTCTTATCTGCACTTAACTACCAAAAATTTGGAAGTGGAGCTGTGGCTTAAGTGGCCAAGCACCAGCCTTGAGCAAAAAAGCTAAAGAACAATACCTTGGCCCTGAGTTCAAACTGCAGTATACACATACACACACACACACACACACACACACACACACACACACACACACACACACCAGCTTGTCTGCCATGAGAAGAAAGGGGATGTCTCTACACTCCCATGCTGTAGACTTCGTTTTTGTAGAATCAACCCTCTCTCTCCATCAGTTATTTTATGGGTACAGAAACAGGGGGCTCCACTCAGGGACCAAGGCACAGGGACCCCTCAGTTCCCATCCCTGGGTCTAAGCCTCCCCCTAGCCTCCACAGGTGGTCTTCCCTTCACAGAAGCCCTGCGCTAGCCAGCTGCCTTCCTGCCCATCCCACCAATGGCCTCAGGCAGCACCCTGCCTTATGTGAGCCTTAGGGAGATCCCTCTGCCAGCAACCCGCCTGAACCCACACATGGACAGAGGCAGCGCTGATGTTAAAACGTGGTTCTTGGGACCTGCAGCCAGCTCTCTCTCTCTCTCCCTCTACCCCTCTCTCTCTGTCTCTGTCTCTCTGTCTCTGTCTCTGTCTCTCTGTGTATCTCTCTCTGTCTCTCTCTGTCTCTCTCTCTGTCTCTGTCTCTCTCTGTCTCTCTTTCTGTCTCAGTCTCTGTCTCTCTCTCTCTCTCTCTGTGCTCCTTCTCTTCCTGGTCCAGAGTTCTTATAGCCTTTGGGTTTTATCAAACTTTTCTTTCCATGACACCTCAGGCAGTTAACACCTAACTTACACTCATCCTTACGTGTATGTGTGAATTGTATAACGGGGATTCATTGCAGCATTTTTATGCATGTGTATAATTCACTGTGATCACATTCACCTGCTCCATCCTTCTGGGTTTATGAGCCCAACACAAGAAGGCCCCCGGTGCTGTGCTCTCAAGCGGGTACCACGTGACCTTCAACCATGGTGGCTGGATCACAGTGCCAGGGATGCCCTTGGCATGGGCTAGGGGCTTTTTTCTGTGACACTGATCTCAGAAACATCCAACGCTGACCCAGTCTGCCAGTCAGGGAGACGCCGGGGGGAGAGGACCCATGGCAGAGCCCCCTAAGGCTCACGGAAGCCAAGAAGAAACGCTTGTTGAAAGATGGACGTGCTTCTCTGGGTGTGGGTTTCCCCACATAGAAAAGCCAGCCCATGATATCCGAGTCCCCTTCAGCCCTCACTTTGGCTTGTTTTCAGATCAATAAGCAACAAGGTCCTGCCTGTAGCTGTTCTTGTCATTAGTTCCAACGGAGTTGGGTGTAAATAAATAATGAACACATTTAAAATTCATTATTAGATTATTTTCTGAGAGCAGGGAAAGAGCAGAGATGCGGAACAAGAAGGGACAGGCGAGGAGCCCAGGGGAGTCTGGGACCTGTGTGACATGAGCAGGCGACCCCGGCTTCCTCCTAGGGCCAAGCACAGCTGTCCAGCAGGTACAATGACAGCCCCATCCCAGAGAGGAAAAGTCAGGGCTTCCCTGGGCTCTCTTGACTGAGAAGATTTAGTTGGCAATGGGCAGAGTAAGAATTCAAGTCAAGAACTCAGACTTTAAATCCAGGGCAGGCACAAGATGAGCCACCTTGCTATCTATCCAGGAGTACTGCTCCCGAGGAAGGTCATGGGGGGGGTCACTCCTGGCACAGTGGCCAGCTGTGGACACTTGCTCAGGACAGCCTGTTCCCACAGCTGCTGAGTCTGCGAAACCACACAACCAGACATTTACCGGAACCTTCCCCCAGGAGACAGAAATGGGACCTGAAACTGCCTGAATTCAGCAGGATCGGGAGTGTGGGGTGAGTGTGGGAGCAGCCCACTGGACTTCAGGAGGGGATGGCCAGGGGGAAAGCCCTTCCGCCTCCGAGGCAAGGAACTTCCTCTTTGGACACAGAGCAGCAGGATCCAGGCCCCCGGTCCCACAGCAGCGGCCTGGCTTCGGCCTTCTAGGACACCAGGTTCCCAGGTAAGGGTGGGGCTCGGCGTCTGAGACGGGGCCGTGTGGTGGAATGTGGGCAGAGCCATTCCAGGGTTCAGCGAGCCCTGAAGGAGCTCACGGTAGAGACATACTGTGGATACATGCTCTTGGCTCCAGACATGTCCCCACAGGCTGTGGGGACTCACTGAGGCACAGCCGGGTCTCCTGCTCTGTGAAGCTCAGCCACCTCTGGTAGGGAAGTTTTTACGTGTGGATGGAGTTGTCCCTTCCTAGCCCATGCGTCCTGAGCAAACTCAATGTTTTGGAACAATGTTTGGCATTATTCGTTCATTGGATGGAATCTAATTTGTAAAGAGAGCAAAAGGCCAGGCCAAGGTTCGACTAGATGGACCATTCTGAGAGTGGATGCCAGGGGGGCTCTGGCCAGGAGGACCTGCTCGGCTCGATACAGGGGTTTCTTCCTGGTTCTCTGGGATTAAGAACGGCCACGCTGCCCTGTCAGGGCCCCTCGAGAAACTCAAGAACATTCTGTGAGCAGAGCTGGTCTGGTAGGCTGGTGGGGACCTTGGCTCCATTTCTTACTACATGGTGCTTATGAATGTGCAGCCTGCCCTCCCAGAGTCTCGGTGTCTTCTTTGCAATAGAAATAAGTTTCTAGCAGGTGCTGGGGGTCACATCTGTAATCCTAGCTACTCAGGAGACTGAGATCTGAGGATCATGGTTGAAACCAGCCTGGGAAGGAAAGTGCATGAGACTCTTATCTCCAATTAACCACTAAAAAACCAGAAGTGGCTCAAGTGGTAGAGCACTTGCCTTGAGCTGAAAAGCTGAGGGACAGCGCCCAGGCCCAGAGGTCAAGCCCCATAACTGGTGAAAGAAAGAAAGAGAGAGAGAGAGAGAGAGAGAGAGAGAGGGAGGGATGGAGGGAGGGGGGAAGGGGGGGAGGGAGGGAGGGAACAAGAAATGAGTTTCTATCACATAGTGACGTCCTGAAGATACAGAGTGGCTGCTTGCACAAACACCCCAGATTCAGATACTCTAATAGATGGGACCATGTGGCATCAAATCCAGCTCTCTGTCGGCCCCTGTCCCATGCAGTCTCCACTCCCAGTTTCTCCTATCCCTGCTCCCCCCTGGCCTAGGCTCCCTGCAGGCTTCCAACTTTTGCCCTACCTCAGAGCCTTTCTTCCATCTTTCTTTCTTCTTAGAACATTCTTACTTCAGCTCTTCGTGAACCCTCTGGTTTCAGTCCAATCATTGCTTGTTCCTTGTGGAGAAGACCTTCTTGGTGGGAGGACTTCTCTCACGAAGCCAATCACCACCTCCCAAGCCAGGGCCAGCACCACCCCCTCAGGGCACCCACCCCATCTCCAGAGCATCAGTCACAGCCTGCAACGATGCCCATCTATTTGTCATCTCTTTCCTCCTGGGGGCCTTGAGAACAGGGACCATATTTTGTCTTGCTCATCACTGTATCCCCAGGTCATAGTACAGGGTTTGGATAGATGGGTATATGGATGGATGGATGGATGGATGGACGGATGGACGGACGGATGGACGGACGGATGGGTGGATGGATGAATGCATGTACAGAGAGATGGATGGATGAGTGGACAGATACATGGATAGATAGAAAGGCGGAGAGGTAGATGGGTGGAAGAGACATGAATGGATGGCTAGAGCGATGGATGGAGTGATGGATGTGTGGGTAGAAGTATACATGAATGGCTGGATTGAGGGATGGGCTGGAGGAAGGATAGGAGGAAGGATGGGAAGGCGGGATGTGGTAGTCACCTCCCACCTTGTCTTCTCCACAGGAGGCAGCTGGGACAGAGCCATGATGAAGACCCCATGGAGCAGCATCACAATGCTGCTGTCAGTGCTGCTCCTGGGTCCACTTCAGGTCTCCTGGGCTCAGAAGAGCTGCACTGGTCCACCGGCCATCCCTGGCATCCCAGGCATCCCGGGGTTACCTGGCACGGATGGCCAACCTGGGGTGCCAGGGACCAAAGGAGACACAGGTACTGCATGCTGGGGAACAGAACTGTCACGGGCCAAGGCCCCAAGTCTTCCCTCTTGAGTCACAGTTCCCTGCTTTAGAGACTACAAAAGCCCTTGGACAGCCAGTAACTGTGCCAGAAAGGACTTCGGGTCCCCATTTCTAGATAAGAACACTTGGAGGCCCAGCATATTTCCTGTCTTCTTCATGGCAGCCCAGAGAACAATGAGACTTAGACCACACAGGGCCCATTCACCCATACAGGGCTTCTCCGGGGGGGGGGGGCTCCTCCCACTCCACCACCCACACAGGGGGCTCCTCTCACTCCCCCCTACACACAGGGCTCTTCCCACTCCAACCAGACAGAACTTGGGAAGCATGAAAACTCCTCTTGTAACAGGCAATTTCTTCATTCTTTTGTGGTGTGTGTGTGTGTGTGTGTGTGTGTGTGTGTGTGTGTGTGTGCCAGTTCCAGGGCTTGAACTCAGGGCCTGTGCGCTGTCCCTGAGCTCTTTTGTTCAAGGCTAGTGCTCTACCACTTGAGCCACAACTCTACTCTTTTTGGTGGTTAAAGATAAGAGTCTCACAGACCTTCTTGCCTAGACTGGCTTCAAACCATAATCCTCAGATCTCAGCCTCCTGAGTAGCTAGGCTTACAGGCCAGTGGCTCACACTGGCCTGGGTCTGTCCCTCAGCTCTTCAGGCTCTACCACTTGAGCCAAAGTGCTACTTCCAGTTTTCTGGTGGTTAATTGGAGATAAGAGTCTCACAGATTTTCCTGCTGGGGTTGGCTTTGAACTGCAATCCTCAGATCTCAGCCTTCTGAGTAGCTAGGATCACAGGCATGAGCCACCAGTGCCCGGCTTTCTTTATTCTTTTAGTCTGTAGTACTGGAGCAGCCCTCTCTACCAGCCCCTCTCCCTTCCCACAATCTATTTTAATCTCACAACCCCACTAAAATCAACACTCTGATTTTGCAGGTGAGGAAGCTAAGCCTCAGAGAATATGACTTGTATACAGGCAACACAACTAGTCATGTAAAGTGTGGCAGAGGTGCATGGGTTCCCAGAGCCCAGCTTCTCAGACTCTGTCCTCTGCCACTGAACTGGAAAGCAAGTCTTGCGTTGTGCCAAAACAAGAGGAAGGGTCTGCTCAGAGTGTAAGAGTGACTCCAGTCCACTTCCTGGTGCAGATAGGATGTGTGCGGTGATTGATTGAGGATGTCTGCTGTGGGTAAGGGAGTGGAAGGTTCCGGTACACATGTGGTGAACTCATTACCCCTGCTCTAGGTTTAAGCCTGACAAGGAGGCTGTGCAACCAGGGACAAAGGGTAGGGCTGCTGCCTTCCTGGGGGGAGGGAAGGAGGAAGGGGGTACTGCTCCCTTCCCTGTGAAGTACCACAGAGTCAGGGAGCTCTGTGCCTTCTCTGAAGCTCCTACATTTCCACAAACAGGAAGTCAATGTCCAAAGGGACCAGCTAAGGTCCCCACCCAAACACGGCGGGTCAGTGGCCTCCGGTCTCCTCATTTCTCTCGCCTTTGTCTCCCCCAGGACTTCCAGGGCTAGCTGGAGACCATGGTGAGTTTGGAGAGAAAGGAGACCCAGGGATTCCTGGGAACCCAGGAAAAGTTGGCCCCAAGGGACCCATTGGCCCTAAAGGTGGCCCAGGCCTCCCTGGACCTCCTGGTCCCAAGGGGGAATCAGGTGACTACAAGGCCACACAGAAAATCGTCTTCTCTGCCCTGAGGACCATCAACACTCATCTGCGGCAGGGTCAGGCCATCCGCTTCGAAAGCATGGTCACCAATGCCAACAACAACTACGAACCACGCAGCGGCAAGTTCACCTGCAGGGTGCCAGGGCTCTACTACTTCACCTACCACGCCAGCTCCCGTGGGAACCTGTGCGTGAACCTCATGAGGGGCCGGGAGCCCGTGCAGAAGGTGGTGACCTTCTGTGACTACACCCAGAACACCTTCCAGGTCACCACGGGCGGCGTGGTCCTCAAGCTGGACCAAGGGGAGATGGTCTTCCTGCAGGCCACCGACAAGGCCTCCCTGCTGGGCATTGAGGGTGCCAATAGCATTTTCTCCGGATTTCTGCTCTTCCCCGATGTGGAGGCATGAGAGCTGGGTCACTCTCTACCATCTCATCTCTCTCTCTCTCTCTCTCTCTCACACACACACACACACACACACACACAATCACCCCTGGCCTAGCCCAAAGCACAGAGCAGAGCTCTGAGAATGCTGAATAAATAAACACATGAATGAGTAAATAAACTCTTCAAGACCAACGCCAAGTATTCTAGTTCAACTGTGGGTCCCAGCATCTGGTACATGGTAAAGGTTTAGAAATGCCAGTTGAAAGCTGGGCGCTGGTGGCTCACACCTGTAATCCTGTCTACTCAAGAGGCTGAGATCCAAAGATCTTGGTTCAAAGCCAGCCTGGATAGAAAAGTCCATGAGACTGTTATCTCCAATAAATTACTCAGAAAAAGGAAGTGATGTTGTAACTCAAGTGGTAGAGCACTAACCTTGAACACAAAGAGGCTCAGGGACAGCGCCCAGGCCCTGAGTTCAAGCTTAAAAAAAAGAAAAAAGAAAAGAAAGAATCAAATAGGAGGGGCCAGGCCTGGTGGCTCATACCTGTAATCCCCGCTGCTTGAGAAATGATGATTGGGAAACTGAAGCTTGAGCCTAGCCAGGCAAAATAGTAGCTTGTTTGTTTCAGCCAACAAGCTGGACATGGTAGTGTAACTGTAATCCCAAATACACAGGATGAGCAAATGGGAGGATGGCAGTCCAATGCTGGCTCAAGGCAAAAATGTAAGAGTTTATCTGAGAGAAACAAAAAATCTAAAGCAAAAAGGGCTGAAAGAGTGGCTGGAAAAATAAAACCACTGGGCGCTGGTGGCTCAGGCCTGTAATCCTAGCTACTCAGGAGGCTGAGATCTGAGGATCCAGGTTCAAATCCTGTCCTGGCAGGAAAGTCTGTAAAACTCTTATCACCAATAAACTACTCAGAAAAAGCTAGAAATGGTGGTAGAGCACTAAATGAGCACAAAGAGGCTAAAGGACAGCGCCCAGGCCCAGAATTCAAGGCCCAGGATCAGCAAAATTATAAATAAATAGAATACCTAGGAATTAACCTAACCAAAGACATAAAAAGATCTTTATAGAGAAAACTATTAAAAATCTGAAGAAAGAAATCAAAGGGGGCCCAGGAAATGGAAAGAAGAACTTCTATGTTTATGGATGGGTAGAATCAATGTTGTGTAAATATCCATGTTGCCAGAAATGATACACAAATTAAATGCAATCCCCATCTAAATCCCAATGACATTCTCTACCACGACAGACAAAACAATCCAAAAATTCATATAGAACAACAACAACAACAACAAAAGCCACTCACGCCTGTAATCCTAGCTACTCAGGAGGCTGAGATCTGAGGATCGCAGTTCAAAGCCAGCCCGGGCAGGAGAGACTGTGAGACTCCTATCTCCAATAAACCACCAGAAAACCGAAAGTGGCACTGTAGCTCAAGTGGTAGAGCGCTCGCCTTGAGCTGAAGAGCTGAGGGACAGCGCCCAGGCCCAAGTTCAAGCCCCACGACCGACAAAAAAAAAAGCCAAAGCTATTCTAGGAAAAAAAAAAAAAAAATAGCAATGTGGGGCTGGGAAGGTGGCTTAGTGGTAGAGTGCTTGCCTAGCATGCATGAAGCCCTGGGTTCAACTCCTCAGTACCACATACTCAGAAAAGTGGCACAGTGGTTCAAGTGTTAGAGTGCTAGACTTGAGCAAAAGAAGCTCAGGGACAGCACCCAGGCCCTGAGTTCAAGCCCCAGGACTAGCAAAAAAAAAAAAAAGCAATGTGGATGGTATCACAATACCAGACCTTAAGCTCTACTACAAAGCCATAGTAACAAAATCAGCTTGGTCTTGGCACAAAAATAGACCTAAAGATCAATGGAACCAATTAGAAGACCCAGAAATAAAACCCTACACTTCCAGTGATCTGATATTCAGTAAAGGAGCCAAATACATACAGTGAGAGAAAACTAGCATCTTTAATAATTGGTGCTTGGAAAACTGGGCATCCATAAAAGTGAATCCTTGTTTGTCACCATGTACTAATATCAATTCAAAGTGGACCAAAAACCTCAACGTTAGACCCAAAACTTTGAAATTACTGTAAAAGACAGCGGGAGAGAAATTAGAAATTAGAGGTATAGGTAGAAAGTTCTTGAAAAGAATCCCAGCGGCAAGTGCCAAATCTCTCCCACTTGACAAGTGGGACTATATCAAAATTAAAAGTTTCTAAACAGCTAAGGACATTGTCACTAAACTAGAAAGACAGCCAACAGACTGGGAAAAGATCTTTACTAGCAATATGTCAAACAAAGGTCTAACATCCAATGTATATAATATATACTTCCAAACCTAGTAAACTGTTCACTAAATGGGCAAGGGAGCTAAGAGACTTCTCAGAAGAAGAGGTAAGAATGGCAAAGGAACACACGAGGAAATTCTCATCATCCCTGGCCATAAAGGAAATGCAAATCAAAACAACTCTGAGATTCCATCTCACCCCAGTGAATTCAAACAACAACAAATGTTGGTGGGGATGTGGGGGAAAAAGAACCCTACTGCATTGCTGGTGGGAATGTAAACTGGTACAACCACTCTGGACAGCAATCTGAAGGTTCCTCAATAAACTAAGCATAGACCTTCCCTACCACCCAGCCATACCACTCCTGGGCATCCACCCTGAGCATCAGGAGCCGGGATATGATAAGGACACCTGCACATCCATGCTCATTGCTGCATAATTCACAATAGCCAAGATATGGAAACAGCCCAGATACCCCACAATAAATGAGTGTATTCAAAAAATGTAGTACCTATATACAATGGGAATTTTACACAGCCATTAGAATGAATATTATATCATTTGCAGGGAACTAGATGGACCTAAATCATGTTAAGTAAGGTTAGCCAAGCTCAGAGAGACAATTGGTACATGTTCTCCCTGATATGCAGAAATTAGATCTAAAATTCACTAGGATATGATAAATCATACAAGATTCTTGATACCCACACATAGTGAGACAAAAGAAGGTGTTTTCTCTCTCTCTCTCTCTCTCTCTCTCTCTCTCTCTGCTAGTCCTGGGGCTTGAACTCAGGGCCTAGGCACTGTCCTGAGCCTATGTTTGTGTTCAAGGCTAGAGCTCTACCACCTGAGCCACAGCACCACTTCTGGCTTTTTCTGAGTAATTTTTGGAAATAAGGGTCTCACGGACTTTCCTGCCCAGGCTGGCTTCAAACCATGATCCTCACATCTCAGCTTCCTAAGTATCTAGGACTACAGGCATGGGTCACTGGCACTCAGCTTTAAAAGAGGATACTCCTGGGACTGGGAAGGTGGCTTGGTGGTAGAGCGCTTGCCCAGCATGCATGAGGCTCTGGGTTCAATTCCTCAGTACCACATAAACAATAAATAAAATTAATTTAAAAAAAAAAAAAGAGGATACTCCTAGCCGGGCGCTGGTGGCTCACGCCTGTAATCCAAGCTACTCAGGAGGCTGAGATCTGAGGATCGCGGTTCAAAGCCAGCCCGGGCAGGAAAGACTGTGAGACTCTTATCTCCAATAAACCACCAGAAAACCGGAAGTGGCGCTGTAGCTCAAATGGTAGAGCGCTCGCCTTGAGCTGAAGAGCTGAGGGACAGCGCCCAGGGCCAGAGTTCAAGCCCCACAACCAACAAAAAAAAAAAAAAAAAGAGGATACTCCTAGGAGAGAAACACAAGGCGCAATGCCTACGTGCCTCTTCATATTTACATTAATATATATGCAAACTACAGGATATGGAAGCAAGAGACCTCTCTTCTTTTTAAAATGTTTAAATTTGTCTTTCATTTTTTGATGACTCTGTCTTCTTTTCCTTATGTATGGTGTATAGCCTCAGAAGGGTTGTGGGGAAGGTACAGAACTCGAAGGGTGAAGAAGTGCAGCAGTAGAGCTCAGTGGACAGTGATGAAAGTGAACTATACAACTCATGGGTGAGGATGGGAGGGAGGGACTGGGAGAGAGGGAGGGAACAGAAGACACTGCACAAAAGCAAATGCACTCATTACCTGATTCATGTAATTATCATCCCTCTGCATATCACCTCTAAAATAACAATAAAGTAAATTTTTTAAAAAGAAGAGTGTCTTGGGTGGGAAAGCACTTGCCCCGTGCAAGCACTGTGCCCTGAGTATAAACCCAGTGCAGCCAAATAAATAAATAAAAGAAGTATTTTGGGCTTTGCAAAGCCGTAGGATCTCTGTTGCAACTACAAAAGCAACAAATCAAACAAATCACCTAGTTTTACACATGAAAATAGCCATAAACAATTCACAGTCAGCCTGCCCTCCATGGTGGCTCTGCATCTGTGATTTTTAACCCCCGGGGATACAAAATGGATTTTTTAAAAATTGCATGTGTACTACACATACGCAGACTTTTATTTCTTGTCATAATTCCCTAGAAAGTACAGGGTGCGTGTTTACGTGGCATTTCCATTGTTGTATTTGTTAATTGTGGCGGTCAGGAGGGGAGGATGCAGCTCAGTGCCCATGGGACTCTGTGCCTACAGAACTTCATTTCACACGGAACACAGGCATTGTGGGTCTGGTGTCCTTGGTGGGGCCTAGAACTCATCCTGGCTAAATCCACAAGCCTAGAGGGGCTCCAGGCCATCTTGGTGGTTGCATATAACTGTCCTGTGTTGCAAAATGACTTCCTTTGGTATATATATATATTTATTTATTTATTTACTTATAATTTTTTTTGCCAGTCATGGGGCTTGAATTCTGGGCCTGGGTGTTGCCCCTGAGCTCTTCAGCTCAAGGCTAACACTCTACCACTTGAGTCACAGCACCACTTCTGGTTTTCTGGAGTTTATTGGAGATAAGAGTCTGATGGACTTTCTTGCCCAGGCTGGCTTCAAACCACAATCCTCACATCTCAGCCTCCTAAGTAGCTAGGACTACAGGCATGAGGCACTGGCTCCTGGCTTTGATTTTTTTTAATGTAAAACCTATTCTTCGCTAGCTGCCTGTGCCCTCTACACACAGAGAGACACACAGACACAACACATGCGTGCACATAGACATGTATGCACAGAGACACACAGACATGCACAGAGACACACAGACACAACACATGTGTGCACATAGACATGTATGCACAGAGATACACAGACACACGCTGCTGCACGCAGCGCTCCTACTGCGGTGCCCGATGGAAGTTGCCATCGCTGCCCTGGG